CCCGGTGCTTATATATATATATAGATATCGAAATTTATAAACTCTTGTAGATATTGTAATATACAAAAATGTTACACAAGACTAATATTTATATTTTTCCATATTTTATTAAAATTAAAATCAAATTTAAATAGTAATATTTTTTAAAAGTTAAGGTTTCTATTCAATAAAAATTAATATTTTTCTATCATATTAAATCCGAGAACGTGTTGTGAACAAATAAAAATTTGAAAATTAATAATTGTTCGTGTGTGCGCACGTGCGTGCGTGTTTTATATAAATGTATGTATATCTTACACATTAATTAAAAATATCAAATAATTATTCTGATAAAATTTTTGGCTGGCAGTTTAAATCCTTATCATTTCACGATCTGTTTAATATAGGAGCCGCGTCATCGTTAAACAATCTGATATTGCGAGCGCAAATAAAAATCCAGCAAGAAGAAGCTAAACAGGATGTGAACCACCAATGACGTAACATGTGGGTCAAATATTTTAGCAACAATTATCGCGCGCAGATAACGATCTTACACTCGATCTCTTAAACGGCCGTTAATAGTGTTAAGTGAAACAACCTAGGCATTAATAATAAGTTCGATGATTAGCGACAATTAGTTCATCGTTTCTCGATCGATAAATTAAAAACACGATGCATTTCAATCGGCTAGAAGAGATCTAACGACGAATTAGAAAGAACGATGTGGAATAGTACTTCATTTTCTTAATTCTCCATCGCGACATTTCAAAGCTTCATATATTTTAAGACTATTGATTCTCATAATTTTCCGTTTCCCCAAGAAGCACTCAAAAGACTAAGAATAACGTATCGATCGTTTTCATACTGACGCATTCGAAGCCGAAAGGGATTTCCGCTATCAGACAATGCAAATTGCAACAGCAACGTAAATTGTATTGCAAAGCATTGCGTGTTTTTTAAAACGAGTAAACAGAGACCTTGAGCCGCAGCTATTTAATTTCAAATCGCTTTGGTCAAGATCAGGTTCGTATTTTTATTAAACGTCACCTTGCTCGCTACCTTATTTTGTTCTCGCTTGCGACCAGTTCAAAGCCGATTCGCGCGCATTAATAGGCACAGAAGATTTGTGTATCGAGCGCAAGTGGTTGCATACGTTGCGCGCGCTTTTATGTAACGATATAACAAGCACAAAGATAAGAGCCTTGCGCTTGCTCTTGAGAGCAAAGAAAAATGAGAGAGATTTTCAAGTATAGTTGTATCCCTTCTGCAAATATCGGAATATGAAAAGATACTTGTAATTGTACGTTTTATTTAAATATGTACATAAGTTGCCTACTTTAATTTCGCCGGCATAAGAAGAATCGCAGCAGAGAGGCAAGAAATGAAACTTCTACGTTCTTTTACTCTGTAATACTTTTTTGTTTTGCTTCAGTAATGCTCGAAATGTGATTCCGTTGAATATTAATGTGCTCGATCGTCAGATAGCTGAAACATCGTACACCTGAATAATTACGAGTTACAAACAAGCATAAATTTCAACTTGGACGCGGTTTCTTATGATTCAAATACTCCTCCCTAATTAAATTTTGCTCGTCCGGTAACATCCAGTTATAATTATCACGAGATTATGACTTGGTTTCTTTTTTTTCGTAGATTCCTTTCAAAGATTTCTCGGTTTTCTTCATTTTCTCCATCTCCCAAGTGGAACTTTTGTGTATCTTTTCGTACAACGTTTGCAGTTACGATAATTCACCTGATCCAAATCGTCCACGCATGGCGAAGGCACGCGACACACGCGTGAATAACAATCCTGAGGAAAGCGTACGAAATTAAGTAGTGCGGTTGGTCGCGTCATATCGGCACACACGGAGAGCTCGTCGTACATTCGTGCGTGATAATATAGGTTACACCTTGACCTTGCGACTAACAGATTTACTAGCTTAGTAGCCTCTTATCAAAATGTTGTACCGATCCAAAAGTGCTTACGACATTTGTGAGAACAAAATTCTCGCACCATCATTCAATCAAGTGGAATTGTGCGACCGTTTATTCGCATCTGTAAAGCTTGTACAAATTCCTGGATTATTAATCGCTCATTACTGACTATTATATCTGTTTCCGATTTTTTTTTTAGAAAAATCTATTCTAAAATTATTTAAAAATTTATATATTGAACACCTTGCGCATTTCGTCGTTTTATCTCTGGTGTTTTTTTTTTCATACACGTATCTCATCGAGTGTACGTACGTAATCATATTGGCATATATAATTGCCAAGAAATGTTTGTAGAAACGACTTGGAGTGGCATCAATTTGAAAACTCGTTTCCCACTGAGGAAACGCACGAACGTTATGCGTTTAATCGCAAACAGTTTGCGTCTAATTGGCTTCAAGGAAGTTCGGTATATATACGGTACGCTTAAGTTGGCTGCGCAGCCACGGAAGAATCGCTCTTTGTAGATCGCGGCTGCACTAGTAATTACGTGATAAAAATCATTGTAAGCAATACGCTTATCTATCACGAACGTATTAGAACACGATTGATTTCGTCCAAGTTTTAATCTGTATATTTTCTTCAAATATGGTATAATTACTTAACAGATATCATTTATGCTAAGGAAACGTTAACTAATTGAAGAACTTGTACAACATGTAAGAAAAAACCCCAACTAATAAGAGATCTATTTATGAACTTTATCTCATTCTTGCATCGAATTGTTCAATTTACAAAATAGGACCGAATATACTAAGTAAACAATAAAAGAACGTGATATTATAGTACTCTTACAACTTGTATTTCGTAATACATTAATTTTGTAATGAACAAACGCGATTTAGAACGAACGTCGAGGAAAATTAAGTGTAACTCGATATAGCTCGCCGCTAATTCTCGGCTCAAAGATCTCTAAAAGTAATTGTACCTAAATCTTGTTTGTTTTAGCCTTTAGAAAGGCTTGGCCTTTATTACGCCTGGCGACGGTCGCGCGCTGAGCGCAACGAAGGTCGACAACCCTCGTATTTACTCCCGCGTTATCAGAAATTATTCGGAACGACATCGAACAGCAAAACAATTAGGCGTGAGAGGCGAAATATATCGTTTTGGGGAGCGCGCTATATTTTTACACGAGGGATCCGACCGCCCGCGGTACCTCCTGCAACAAGACGGTGGAAAGTGCGATCGCCTCCCTCCACACTGACGAAACCCGACCTTCTGATACCCCGCTAACGAGTCGGATGTGTTTAGGACCAATTTGTCTATTATCTCGTTGTCAGTTTTATTTATTACACTTCTAACGTCTCTCACGACGCGGCACATACGTGCGACTTCCACCAGCCTGAGATTCCTCGATGCAAGTTAATTAACTCTGATTTCTCGACTGTGGTCGCGCCAAAGTCGTAAACGTACTTTGCGTGACCAGCTCGCAGAGATCAGCACACCCTTTCTCGTCGCGATTTCAGTGAAAATGCAATATAAGTTTCTGTGCCGCAGCTCACACGATATGCACATGCTTCTGAATATTATCAAACTGCAGTACTCTACATCTCTCCCTCTCCTCGCAACTTTATCGTAGCTTCATCTTCGTCATAAAAAGCGTCTTTCAAAACTGTTCCGAAAGTAACTTCCTCAGTCCTTTCATCAAGTTTTTCCACAAACTTGAAGTCAAAGCTCGTCAAACGGGAAGAAACACGCGTCGAACGAGTTCGCGGTACCCACGATTGATACGCAACTGGGTACGTGGGTGGAGGAAAAGCCTGGTAGCACGACCGGAGTACGAGGAGAGTGAAGCTAATGTGTCAGTCGTGAGCGCGATTCCGTCGCGCCGCGTACTTGAGGAGCCGCACGCGGCGAACAAGCGGCGGAACGGAGGGCTGAAGAAAGCGCCGAAGGAAGAAAGAGGAGGGGAGGCCCCCCCTGAAAAAAAGATAGGACCCTCACTCGCCGAGGGGTTCGTCGGGGCGCGTTCAGTCCGTCCACGTCCGCTGCCGGGAACGCGACCGGAAGACCGATTTTCCCCCCCTCGAGGAACCGCTTCTTCCTATTCCCGACAGGAACTCGGCGGAAACTTCCTCCTCGTCGAACTAAGAGGCACGTCTTCCGCGGTTGCACGAATTCCCGAAGATCTCAATCAACCGATTGTTGTGAATATCGCGAATCTCTCGCCGAACGATTCCGCGTGGATTTTGGAGAAAGTTTTACTTTCGAGAAGACAAAATTATCGGTAAGAGAATGAACAATGTAATTAATAATTTAAGTGCAATGTGTCACGTACATTTGTCGTTTGTCTGTTCTTTTCATACGCAAGTTTGAGATTATTAGAAAATATCAGGAAAATCGCATTTATCCTTCTACGAGAATGCATTTCTCACGTGTTTCTCGGTCACAACAAGGAAGCACATGTATATGTCAACTTCGTAAAGAGGAAAAATATTCCTAGCACATTCAGGTTATTCTCGTATCTTTCGATTTAACAAGATACGACCTTAATTGCTAGCCATCTGCGATAAGGCATCAAATCGTGATATTAACTTCTATAATTTAGTTCGAGTTTAGGATTGCAATTTAAATTCTCACAAAGTATCTCCGACAAAAATAAGAAAAATTTCGCGAGCGCAAAATTTTCACGCTCGATTGGTGCCAGATAAATCGGAGTAATGGATTCAGTTAAAATGACTTTTGAAAGGCTTTAATTCACTCCCCTTACATGAAATGTCGGAATTCGCGGGAGAATGCGAAGGTCAACAAAAGTGCAGAAGTCTTTGCTAAGAAGTTTCGCTTTACACGACGTTACTACAATAACATTTGTGCCGGCGATAACTTAGTGCTCGCACTTCTTCTCTGCTGCTAATTGTTGCGCTCTTCGCATTATCGCGCGGATCTGGTTTCAACTGCTCGCCTTTATTTACCTTGCATAAATTTTAAGTGCTCGTGTCGATCGCAACGCACAGGTGATGACGCTTCCCTGATAACGACGTACCTCACTAATGATATCTGTAGACAACCATTAAATACATACATCTGCGCCACGGTGTGTTCAAGAAATCGCGTTCAAAAGTCGGTTAAACAAATTACATTCATTGCTGACCTAGCGCGTTTTGTAATCTTACGTCGAGCTTTTTTTCCTTTTCCAACTCGGTGTAATCGATTTAGAAATTAATTAATTATTATATATAATAATTAATAACCGAGGGGGAAACCGCTGACCAAAATCTTGTACACCAATGCCCACTAATGCCCAGTGGGCATTACTTTATCTTATTATCTTCTTTTATTTCATTTAACTTGTTTTATCTTATTTTATCTTATTTTATCTTTATAATGCCCCAGCAAGACGTAATGCCCAAAAAATGCCCTAGTAATGCCCGGTAATGCCGCAAATCTGTACACCACAATGCCCTCAGCGGTTTCCCCCTCGTTAATAACAGTCTGTTAAAATCGCTTTAAAGCAATATTCGCGAAAGACGCTGAGGTAGAAGTTCGATAAAGTTTTTGTTCAGACAGAAAAACATTCTCTAGCGTACAGGAGCGCGAAACGTTGTACGTTATGTAAAATGCATTATGTAAAAATTAATGTGACATAAAATAACACGAAAAATTTTTGCTATTTTCACACAACTTCTTTTAATGGTTTCTCACTCAGGGCCAGTTTCACAAACATCGATTAACTGTTATCTAGGGTTCAGTCGACTCCCTATCTTTTTCCATGTTAGGGCCAGTTTCACAAACATCGGTTAACTGCTAACTAGGGTTCAGTCGACTCCCTTATTTTTTCCATCTTATTATTTAAGAAGAGTCGGAGAGCCATTAGCCTTCGGTTAGCAGTTAACCGATGTTTGTGAAACTGGCCCTTATTATTTACGAAGAGACAGAGGATCAATTAACCTACGGTTAACTGTTAACCAGAGTTCAGTCGACTCCCTACCTTTCTCAATCTCATTATCCAAGAGGAGACGCGGAATGAATTAACCTTTGATTAGCGGTTTACCAACGTTTGTGAAACTGGCTCTTAGGGCCAGTTTCACAAGCGTCGTTTTACCGCTAACCCATGGTTAATTGATCCTCCGTCTCTTCTTGGATAACAAGATAGAGAAAGGTAGGAAGTCGACTGAACACTGGTTAACAGTTAACCGACGTTTGTGAAACTGGACCTTAGTAATTTCCACATTGATAGCTAGAGCTAATCGAATAATATTCAGAAAAGGCACCGAGAGGTACTTTAAAGGCGCTTGAAAACATTTCGGCGACTAGTCACGCGCCCTGAGTCATCAACCTTATCGTCATTCACTAATCAATTCCTTCCACGATTTTCGTGTAGCCCGTTCCGCAGTTACACGGCCGGCTTCCTCCATGCAAATCGCCACTTTTATCCAAACAATAGCGTCGCATGCCACGACGACGTCTCTCCCGAACCGCACAAAAGCCCGGGGACGACGGGACTCGACACGTGGTATGAGTCATTTGCTGGTGTTACGTGCGTGACTAGTACAACTAGAAGTAGTTCTTTTCAACGTAGGAGCCTATAGATCGGCATTCTCTATCTTTACGAAGACCTAACTATATTGTCCGTACGTGTATTACCTAACAGGCGAGCGTCGTCGCTTTCTCCGTCGCGATACATATTTTATTCGCGTTATATTCGCGTTAAAGAAGCTCCAATTGGACATGCGGACCTCGCCAATGTTTTATCACACAGCAATAAAAACTTAACACTTTTCCGACACGCTCCAAGGGTCTTTTGCACTTTTTACGAAACATTGCTTCGAACCAAAAACGCGAACGCTATGATGACCCAGTCGTCGGTTTTGTTCGATATATCGATCTTCCAACAACCGGAGGGAAAGAGAGAGAGAGAGAGAGAGAAAGAGGAGCGGCCCCGGTAAACACGCTAGGCCGCGAATATATATCAAGGGTTGCGAAACGGGAAGTACAGGTCATAAACGAGGATGATCCTACACATCCTCCAAGCGATTGTCCCTTTGTCCTTAGCGCAGTCCGTGGATTCGATTGAAAAGCCGGGACTTTCGAGCTCGATTCGGAAGCGCGTATAAAAGAATGGCGTTATTCTCGAAATATAATACGGCGTGGGACGCTCTCAATGATAGAAATAGAAAATTGTAACACGATGACATCGATAATAACTCGTTGCCCGCTCGTGTACACGGCCCGTCACGCGTCGTTTGTAAATGCACACACCCGCTGCGCTATTATTCGCTTCATAATACACACCCTATCGATTCGACTCAACGACCCCTTTCTCACATCGGAAAGCGCGCGCTGCCCCGGCGAGACCACCCTGTGAAAACCACTTGCGATACCGATCGCCGGAAGGCTCTCGTGAAAGCTACCTGTAAAAAAATTTCCGTTCACCGTTATCGGAGGAATCGAGGGAGCCCACCCCGCGAACGGGTTCGCCCGAACCCCGCTCGTAAGAACTTTACCAATTTACAATCGGAAATAATCGCTGAGAACTCGTGGCAACGACTGCTGCGCCATTTCGCTAATGCAATGTCGATTCGATTTCAGGACGTTTATTTAGAAGATCGCTTCTAGACGAGAGACCGCCGTAGAGACGTCCCCATTGAGAAAAGTTCAAGGAGCGGCTAGGATAGAAAAAATAACGTTTCGCGGAAAAGAACGGCCGACATCGATCGGCGGATGATCAGCCGACCGAACGGGAGCGAGCTTGTATAATCGCGGGACTCGCAGGCGCGAAAAGGGAAAAGGGTACGAGCGATCGCGCGACGGGAAGGCTGGTCGTCGTATGGGGAGGAAAAGAGCGAAGAAACGTTAGAGTGTGGCGCGCGAGACGAGATCGCAATGAAAGTCAATAAACCGTGATGAGTAACGGAGAGTATAGTGGTCGGAGTGGCATTAATAAATTAGTGTCTACTTGCTGCTACAAGCAACAGCAGCGGCAGCAGCAGTAACAGGAGTCCGGAGGAGGAAGAGGACAAAAGAGAAGGAGGTGGCGGTGGCGGTGGAGGAGGAGGAGGCGGCGGAGGTGGAGGAGGAGGCGCGGACCTCGTGTGTGTGCGCGCGCGGTATGTGCACCGGTGTGCGTGCGTGCGAATACTTGTGACCGGCCGTGTCGATGCGGGGATTTGGCCAGTGTGTCAGTGTGAAAGAAGACAATTGACTCGTAGCCGCCGTCCGTTGGACGGTGCTCAGCTCGGCGGGGGCCTTCTGACGTCACATCCTGCCCCGCGGCCTGTACGAGAGCCCGCGATCTCATCTGGACCACGGTGAACGAAGGTACGCAGATTCGTGTGTTCGCACGGCGCAAAGCCCGCTGGGGGTTTGAAAAGCTCGGGTAAACGGGGGACCGCTCTTGGAGTTGGAAGACGATCGGCGAGACGACGACACGTCAGGGTCATTTCGACGAGAGATAACAATTTTAGGGGAAACTCGATAGTTCGATACACGTCCAGTTAACAATACGCTGGAATCTTTCCCTCCACGCGGCCTCCGAAACTCTAGGATCATTGCGCTAAATGGCACCGAATTGATACCAATTGTTGAATCACATTTTCTCTTTCCTCGCAATTCCAACGAATCTTGCTGTAATTAAAGACTTCAAAAGGTTACCATGTCTGGCAAATTTTAAACTCGCAACGTTTCGACCATGGTCTGCGGTACTTTTCAAGTGATCTGACAAAGAAATTGCAAGCAATTTTAATAAAGGATTGATACATAAATAAGTTACGAAAATTAAAGTCAGAAGTATTAAGATTGCGAAAGTCAAGTAAGATTGACGATAGTAAGGTAGGAAAGATTTACAAAAGTGGGAGACAATTGTCGTGGTTAATGTAAGAGTAGATTGCATACATTGCTGTAATTATCGCACTAATTTTTCTCTTGTACAATCCGGGACAAACTATAAAGGTAAAGATTAATTGGAGACTTGCTAGCTTAGCGCAATTGCGAACCTCTGGATTGATTAATTTGGATGATTATATTATGGATTAAGTAAGATTTATACAGTAGAACAACCGACTAAACGCTGTAACGCGTTGACAATCACAAATTGCCAAACGAACATCGTATACAAGGTGTATGTACACATCGCGTTTGTCAATACGATCAATATGAATATTGATATTAATAGCATTAATAGACAAGATCACCATAGTGACATCGATCCTAACGAAGTAATAGTCTATAGCCAGAGAGAACTCTCGTGAAATAATTTAGTGTCTTAATATACTTGCTACATTGAATCTAAAGTTTAGTCCCAAGAGATCTAGAAGACAAATAGACAAAATTAGACCGGAAAATATCTAATTTCGATAAACTTATCGCTTATCGTTCTTCCGCTAGATATTCCAAACGAAACGATTTATCTGGTACTTTCTTTAACTGAAAGTTCGTGCATTCTTCAGGGATAATATTTCAAGTAGACCGACCTTGTTTGTTTCTAATAAATATTAAATCGAATCAAACATTATTAAATGTCGGCTCCAATGTTACAGTTTGTAAGATGCTTGCTACGAGGTACACGTATAGTTTTGCTCGAATGATCTCGTATACCGTATTGCGTGTACGCACATTACTGAAAAAGAGAGGTGCCTCGACACAAATTAACGTTACGCGTTAATCTTGGGCATCGGCACTTTCGAGCATTTCTACGTTCCGCAGAAGAGAACTGCAAAAGAACCGTGCGTGCAATCGAAAGCGCCCGTATCAGATGCTGCCGCGACTCGGCGACGTCTTCGTGGTCATGAGCACGAGATTCCTTGCCGTGGCGTGAAATTTCAGATGACGTATGATAGGTCTGCTAATTAACTGGGGCGTTGCGCGAAGCGCATACGGTCACCGTGAGTGAACGAGCGAGAGGTAGAGAGAGAGAGAGAGAAAAATGAATGAATGAGAGAATAAGAGAAACTCGGCATTGACGACGAGGATGTAACGATCAAGATAAAACGAATAAAAAAATGATCTACTTCCTGATCTCGCGATCGTCGGCGTGCAGCGCGGTCGTGGGGCTCTTTTCCTATGGTCCTCGTTATCCGTCAAGGTCATTGCATGTGTCTCGCTCCGACGGCCGTCGAAGTTCGAGTCGGAGATGCGGCTATTTACTGACTCGATAAATTGCGACGACGAGGCAATTTCGCGACGGACGCGCGGCGGTGCGCGGGGGTGGGCGAAGGCGTCGTAGAACGAAGAGCGTTCGCCGTTCACCAAGGTGCGCGCTTACGCGCTCCCGAGGAGCCCCTCCAGAAGGCAGATCCGACAGGAAGTACAAAGGGCCGGTCGGCGATTATTCATGTCGGACGAGCGCGACGCGTGTCGTCTTTCTTTCGTAGATGAAACCCAATTGGCCCCGTGAAGAAAAAAAGAGATAATTGCGAGAGCTTACGGTGCTCCGAGGGTGTTCGAGGAAACGGGCGAGGTCCACGGTCAAATTACGCATCGTAACGTATTATGTCGTAAGTTAACGCTTTATTTCGTCTCGCGTACGCTAAACGCGCTTTATTATCAAAGGCATATCGGCCCGATGTATCGCGTTGCACTACAGCGAGGGTCCGGTTCGTGGCGCAACTGTGCACTTTGACTCCTGCGGGGCTCCATGGGTTAGATTTAACCGGGAGATACTCCTCGGGAGAAGAAAAATGAAAGATCGTATCGAAACGGTAGCGGCGGCTTAACCGGCTCGCGTCGGACGTACCGCTCGTTGCATCATTCATACGGGATCCCCCTCGCCCCACCCCCGATCTAATACCTGCGTCGCGACGCGAGGGGAAGTCGTAAATTCGAAAGCGGCAACTGCAATCGTAAAATTGCATCTGCCGGGTTGAGGTGGCCTTTTAAACGAGACGCGCCGGAAGGACGAGCGGTTTTAAGCGCTTTATGGAAGGGAACGTGGGTGTCCACGTGGCCTGAATCGTAAAAGCGTTCTTGAGCGTCCGCGAGGTGAGCGAACAGCTCTCGAGCATGAAAACGCGTCAGGTTTGATCCTAATCGGGTCCGTGCCGCTCCCGGCTTAAGGTAGTTATTTCGTAAAATCAATTATGTGAGAATTGCTCGAAATTTTTACAGTTTATTCCTTACATTAATACGTGCAAAGTAAGACTAATTAAATTAAAATTGACCGTCTCCAAGTTCTAAAAAAGATGTTGAAGTTTGCTATGTTACACGAAACATTACGTGTAAAGCACGTTAAAAATATTATCACACGTAACAATATAATTCGTCGTAATATTATTACACGTGAAATATTATTCATACATATTATTATGCATTAAAGTATTAACATTTGCGTTTGCAAACGCAAATAATGGCTCATTTTATGGTTTTTAAGCTCAACGGTGAGTGAGATTCGTATGAGAAACAAATATGTTATAAAGTAAAATAGAACGAATAACTGGAAAAAATGAAAATTATTGACCGTTCCGTTTCGGAAAAATCGAGGGGGAAACCGCTGACCAAAATCTTGTACACTAATGCCCACTAATGCCCAGTGGGCATTACTTTATCTTATTATCTTCTTTTATCTTATTTTATCTTACCTATTTTATCTTTTATCTTATTTTATCTTATCTTTTATCTTATTTTATCTTATCTTTTATCTTGTTTTATCTTATTTTATCTTACTGTATCTTATTTTATCTTTATAATGCCCCAGCAAGACGTAATGCCCAAAAAATGCCCTAGTAATGCCCAGTAATGCCGCAAATCTGTACACCACAATGCCCTCAACGGTTTCCCCCTCGGGAAAAATTATGTAGTAGACATGAGTGTAATGTAAAAAATGTGGCGACAGCGCCTCAAACTATAATCTTTCGAATCTATTTTATATTATGTATTAATCGTAAGGGTATTCTTTAGAACAATATTGCATATATCATTGTAATAATTGAGTGCTCATTCCTGGTCTGGAAGAAACATTATTGCATTACCGTCGCGAAACAACTACCTTAAGCGATGAGAAGACATCGCATAAACAAAACGAAGAGTTTTGTACCGTATTCGTATTTGGGCTAGCGTAAAAAAAAAGAAATGCATCCCCGAAAAATTGGAATTTTCGATAATACGAGGCAACTTATTCATTTAATTTTGCATATCGATAGAATGCTATTGGAACTTTTTTATATCGCCTCGTGTCTAATGCGTAAAAATATGATTAAACTGTTCTCGGCTCCGACACGTTGCAAATTTAGTTAGATCGAGTTATAACAATTAGAGGCAACCGCGCGCGTGATTCATTGACACGACGCAGAGAATTGTTAATAAATATGCACGTGTCACTAATACAATTAAAATACTTATTCAATTTATTATACCCAGAAAAAAAATCTCTTTGAAACAAATTTCCTCTGAATTTTGACCCTACCAGACTTTTGCGTAATTTCAAAGAAATTTCGTTACCTAAACCGAAATTTTATTTAATTACCACTGGAATCTCTAAGAGAATTCATATCTGTTTCTTCAAATCGAGCAAATGTTTTAGATGAAGTAAATCAAAATTTAGTAAATTCAAAGAAAAATGATTTCAACGTATCTCATTTTTCTTATTTAACATAAATAAATTTTTTTCTCGGGGTAATGCTACATAAGAATATCTACACCTGCCCGCTTGAAATCAAAATAGCACGTAGATATTAAAAATGCAATTCGATAATTGTAATAAAAAAAAATTAAACGGGGAATCTATTGTATCGATGGGTCGCGAAAATCTTATAAAATCTTTTCGACATTTGAATTGCTCTTTCAGCGAATGAGGAACGATGGTCTACCGCGACAAGAGGATCCTCGGGATCCTTGTCTTGCTCAACGTAATCGCAAGGATGCCGGCGAATCAAACGGATTCGTCCAAAACGGATATAGTCGAAGAAATGGAAGAGTTTACTACGACCAAAAGGAGTCTGCCCGACAGATGCCTTGTCAAGACAGAGCCGGGACCCTGCAAACATTACGTTCACAAATGGACCTTCCACAAAGCCGAAGGGAAATGCCGAACGTTTCCTTACGGCGGCTGTTTGGGAAATGAAAATCGGTTTAACTCGGAAGCGGAGTGCCTCTATTATTGCGTCGGTGGCGCCGATCGTAAGATATTCCCCCAAAAATTCATTATGCAATAAACCGTATAATATAATTGTTATGAACACAAATTGGAAGAAATAAGGCTAAAGGCTAATCTACAATGTGTTCTTTGCGTCTAGAAACATTCTACTTTGTAGCCAATAAATACGTTTAAACAATTTGTAAGTTGATAATTTTTTAAGCGTTTTGCTTTGCTTCTATAAAATCGAATGTTTCTAGGTACGAGCACATTGTAGATTAGGTTTAAGACCCGTGACAGGGTGTTAGTGTCTAAATAATTTTCTTATAAATTTATTGCGAAAATTTATAATAACCGTTAATTAATTGTGTAAGAGAAAATCTAAAAAAATCAGAATAATTAAGTATACGTGTATATTTGCGTTGAAGAAATAAATAGTAAAATGATAGAATGGTAAAAATCAATTTTCAAAGAATCGAACTTGAAATGTTAAGAACACGTTTGGGAATATTTTTTGACATAACTGTTTGTCAGTTAAAACAAAGCAGAAGCACATTGTCACATAAGCATCCTTGCCGTTCATATTTAATAAAGATAGAAAAAGTTGCTATAGATTTACCGACTAATTTTAGATACGCAACCGCCTTATCTTGTAACGAAGGGCAGCGTATTTGTGGCAACGAGCACCACGACAATGAGCACTCCACCTTCGACAACCACCAGCACACCACGACCGACCTTTACGCCCCCGAAACCGACGAAGCCGCCGGTACCGAAGCACCTGCGAGGCAAGGTAGAGATGCCGTCACCTCATATAAATACGTAACGTTTTACGCAAATAAGGAAAATTACTTCTATCGTGTATTTTTACCGAAGGAATTAACGTTCATGGAATCTGGCCACGAGAAAACGTTTATGTTCGCACAAAGCAACACTTTCATCCAGCTCGATGGCCCTGGCATCAAAACCTTTCAACTGAGGTAAGCAATCTGAATGATCTATTAATCAAAAACGTTGAATCTTTCAATTTGAGCAGCAAGGTATATTACGATACGTCGTTTAATATATTTATTAATTTAGTGCCTTGCTTTAACGTCTCATATGTCGCTATTTTATATTATTTTATTAAGATAATATTACGAAACTAATATCTGACATACATTATATTTGATATATCACAGATTATGCCGCGAGATATCCTTCAAGTTTCGCACCAAGCTCCCACACGGCTTACTAGTTTATCACAGTGTCAAAGACCGTCCAGAAAGCCTCGACGCTTACGCCCTTTACGTGATAGTAGAGAAGGGTCAGCTGAAAGTTGTCCACGTATTCGGCAAACAGTCCACTAGTTTGATAGTCGGCCAAGGGCTGAACAGAGACGAGTGGCACCGCGTTCTCGTGAGGATCGACGTGCACGGGGCAAAGTTAATCGCCAAGGTCGACGATAAGCAGACCGAGACTACTCTAAAAGTTTTAGAGCGCATCGTTAATTATGGAGTGTCCGAAGAGCTGGCCTCGGTCGTTCTTATCGGAGGTGAGGACAGCCTTCTCTCTCGAGGGACTCCCTACGAGTGGAAATATTCGCGTCTTTATTGCTTTATTTCCGCTTTGGCAGGGCTGAGTTCCGAGGAACGGTTACACGGAGTGAAGTACATAATAGAGTCCTTCGTCGGTTGTATCAGGGATATGGTTCTGAGTTCCGGGAAATCCGCCAGCGATTTGCTGCCCATTCGACCACTAATCGCGACCAAGCACGAGAATGTTAAGGAAGGGTGTATCGATAAGTACGTCTTTTTAAAAAAAAATGTGGGGGAGGGGGAAGGAGAGTGCGTGAAGTAATTCGATGATGCGAACCTTAAATTTCAATTTAGGTGCAGGACACGAGAAAACTTATGCTTCGTCCCTGATCAATGTGTGAATCACTACAATAGTCTAACGTGTGATTGTTTCGGAACGAATTACGAGGGCGAACGTTGCGATGTGTACAGTACGTAAAGTAATTGAATTTAATATATGTGATTTATTTACTAAAATATATCGTCGTCTTTCTGCTCTTCACGACATTTGCTTTTCTAAAATTAAATTCGAGACTCTCTTAGCTATTATTAAAGGAATATCCAATCTCCCGTGGATACGATATAAATATACTATATAAATTGTGTCAGTCGGTAAAGAGATAGGGCTTTTATGCGTGTCTAAAAGAGTCCGGGTATTCCAATACGAGACTAATGGAGTTTGAAATGTAACATCATTTTTCAGCCGCGACCATACTGACGCTGAGAGGCTCCTCGTACGTGTCCTTTCGCGTGTACGATTGGAAGGATCGTGTTCACTCGTCTGTCAACAGGATCAGCCTCGCTTTTAAGGTATTTGACAACGGGCGCTTATTGTAATGGGACCGCGTTCCTTTCCCTTGTCGCGGGCTCATTGATTCATTATAGCGAGACGCTATACCTCTTGGTCGGAGTCGAGAGGGGCGCGTTCTGTATTTTCACGAGCAGCTGCTTTCATCCGCCACCCTCTTATAGGACGAAGAATTCACCGTGGAAATTCCCTCCTCGGGAGAGTGTCGAGTTCCGCTTCTCAAATTATATCGTAGCGGCTCATTGTGTGGGCAACAATAAAATTTGTCGCACGCTGAATAAGCAACAATTATTGTCACTTTTTCCGTCGCGGAAAGAAGGGGATATACAGAGGACATGATTATACGATTATCATATGTCACAATTGAAAACATCATATCGTGATGTCGATCAAAAATTTGCACCTGGTTTTTTTTTTATTACAAATGAATAAATTTCAGACAAAGTGGGACAACTCCGCCCTGTTTTACGCCTCCGGCGAAATCGACGGCACGCCGCATTACATTGCAGCCTCCATTGTAAATGAATCGGTGCACGTTGAGCTCGATTTCGGACACAACTCGAAGATCTCCACTATGTTGGGCGATTACGTAACGTCCGATCATTGGAACAACTTGACCATATTCCATAACGGATCCTCCGTCATCGTCAGCTTAGACGACGAGGTGAAGATACTAGAAGTACCGGGAGAAAATTGGGATATGATCATCGACCCGGAGATATACATCGGTGGCGGCCCGGAACTTCACAAGAAGAAGGGTCTTCTGTCGCACAATAATTTTGCAGGTGTGACCGAAAATCGATACCTGACGGCTGATCATTAATCTCATAATCCTATCAATTAATCCATTTTATAATTTTACATATTTCGATCTAATGTCCGGAATTTTTTAGCTTCGGACAGTCCACAGCCCGTGGATCGCTGGCGGCCTATACTGGATTTAATTAATACAATTCTCTGTTTCTCCAGGTTCCCTGAAGTACGTGTTCTTCAACGACAAGTCGATCATATACGAACTGAAGCGCTCAAATCCTATGGTGCACTACATCGGTGTGCTGGAGCCGGAATATTACGAGGCCAATGTCGAGGTCATTCCGATCACGTATCCTTTCGCGGGAAGTCACATCTGGTGGCCGATCGAACGAACCGACTCGCTCAAGTTAAACTTTGACTTTAAAAGCTCGAAGCCAGTCGCGATCGTCGCTTCGGGAGACGTAAAGAGCAATCGCGGCGTTGGTTACTGGGAGGTACGATTATATTACCATTAGAATTAAAGTAGGACCCTCAATAAAACTAGACAACATATAGAAAACGGCTAATGCGGGTCTGAGGCAAAATGTAGGTAGCCTATACTTGTAATTTATTAAAATGTGAATTCATATGCCGTTTCTTTCCACCTTTGTCCTGCGCGCCGGTTTCTTTACGGACATAACGCAATTTTCTTACGGGTGGAGTTTGTCAGCAAATAATCACTATATGTTGTTTAGATTGTATTACCGTTACACATTTTCTTCTTTCTTTCCCAGTCTCGATTTCTATTAATAATTAATACTTTGCTCTGTATGTTTATAGTTACGTCAAGTTAATGATGAAATTCGTTTCCAATTGGTACCAGTGACAACGGAGAACATCACGGTATCGACTTCGGTGAAGTTCCCGCCTTACAATACCTCCTGGCACGCGGTCGAGCTTAATTATACGAAAGGCGAACTCAACATCCTCCTCGATTACAGGAATAAGCAGAACAAGCTCTTCGCTACGACGTTCGAGTTGGGTGATAAAGTTATTATAGGAAGTGGTAAAAGTAACGCGGGTACGTACATCCACTGGCATTAAAGTTGAAAGAGCAGGAATCGTGCAACAAGAAGAAATTTTTATATTCAACAATTTAGGTCTAGTAGGCTGCATGCGCGAGATACGAGTGAACGGTCAAAGAATCGAACCTAGGTACGTAATTAACACCGAGAGAGTAGTCGGAGAAGTCGCTCTAGACAATTGTCAATTTGTCGATCCGTGCAAGAGGCCGAACACTTGCGAACACGGCGGCAAATGCTCGGTTAAGGAAGATAGGATCACGTGCGATTGCACAGACACCGGATATATTGGGAAGAACTGCCACTTTGGTAAGACAAATTGCGATAAATAATTCAATAGTATCAGTCATGTTCTGTCGTCCGTGTAATCATGATCGGCTCCGTTACTGCACTGATTTACTGACAAATTCAACACTTGAGAAGGACCACAAACAATGGTTGCAACGTCGTGATTTTGAACATTAAAATTTGCCAGACATGGTCAAGCAATCCTCTGACGTTTTTTAATTTCTTCTGGCGACTTAGAAAATTTCCTACGTCATCAATAATATCGGTATCATAAAACTAAAAACAAAAAGAAATTTAACTTTCATAAAATCCTTCTCTAAGGAGATTATCAGTAGATTAATTTTTTTAATATTTCACATAATTTTATTAATTATGCAACTTTGGATAAAATTACGATACATCAGAACTAGAATTAATATTAGAATTAGTTATAAATTGTACAGCGCCGATAAAAAAAAACGAGAAAATAAAAATAATCTCATTTGTCCGTTTTTCAGCACAGTACAGAAAAACTTGCGAAGAATTAGCTCTTCTGGGATACACGCAAGATGACGTTTACAAAATCGACATCGATGGAAACGGCCGGTTCCCGCCCGCCTTGGTGAAATGCGAATTCCAGTCGATCGAGGATTCGACTAAAACGATCGTCGAGCACAATTTACCCTCCCAAGTGGACGTCAGATCTATCATCGAGAGCGACTTCTCCTTCAGCATCAAGTACAGGCAGTTCACCGCCGAAATGCTTCAGGAGCTGATATCGCACTCGCTTTATTGCAGCCAGTATGTAAAGTACGACTGCTACAAGGCACCCTTGGAGCTGCATAGTGCCACGTGGTTCTTGGGCTCCAAAGGTACCACCGTCGATTACATCGGAAACGTCAATCGCGGATCCTGCCCTTGTGGAAGTAAGTCCTATCTTAAATAAACGCCTAGTGCGACTTGTAGAAAGAAATTTTTAAGCATCGGCGTTTGCAAAGGCTCAATCGTTGTCTCGCGTCAAGGTTGTTATTTATTAATTTTACTTTAGTGAACAGAACATGCGTGAGCTCCAACTTGAGCTGCAACTGCGACGTGTCTGCCGGAACCGCCGGAACCGCCGGAAAGTGGCTGTCAGACGAGGGCTACTACGAAACACCTGATTCGTTAGGCATCACCGGAATGGTGTTCTTGCAGCAGAGAGATCTCGAGGAAGATGCTCGGGGACGTATTACCTTAGGACCATTGGAATGCGTTGAAACAAGTACGCAAATGTATACTGATTTGCAAAATCACGCAGAAACTATGTGTCTTCTATTCAATTAACATAATTAATAATTTTATCTCTTCGAAAATAAAATAAGCAATAAGAAGTAAGACTTTTAGAGCCACTATTTGCAACAGATATTATTCCTGTGAACAATTACGAATGTCTACAGAATTGTTAGAAGCAACATGAAATTTACGGTGATTTCTAGACACGCAGAAATATGTGGTAACGTTCACGACGTCGCAATCGTATATCGAAGTGCCTGGCTGGAGGAAGGGTGACATAGCCTTCAGCTTCCGAACAACAGGCGAGAAAGCTATTCTTCTTTATCAGCCGCCAATTCGAAGCAACTATCCCTCCTTCATGGTCGCTCTAACGTCGGAATATCGTTTGACGTTTAACTTCACATTGAATACCGGTACCAACCGCGAATTGCAAGTGGAAAGCCGACGGAAAAAACTGAATAATGGCGAGTGGCAAAAGATTTGGATCGACTACAACGACTATCACGTGAGATTCATGATCAACACTGACTTTCGAATGGTGGACTTGTTTCCCGAAGAGGAGTTCGGGCCTTTCGAGGGATCCATGTTCATCGGCGGTGCCACTGCGTGAGTAACTTGACAAATTTATTGTCACAATGAGTTTATTTATTATGACAAATAATGATTTTTATTCGATTTCGTTAATTCTCCATTCGAATCATCCTTCGATTTTCAGAGAGCACTTGAAGACCTCTTCCGTTCGACAAGGTCTCATCGGCTGTTTTCGCGGTCTCGTCGTCAACGGAGAAATATTAGACATCCACAATTACATGTCGGTACATCTGTCGGAAATCATCAAAGACTGCAAGCCTTCGTGCCAGCCTAATAAGTGTCAGAACGGCGCTAGATGCGTCGAATTGTGGAGTAACTTCGAATGCGTGTGTGAAAATCAATGGGCACACTTGGGCACTTATTGCGAGACAAGTAAATAATTTCACTCGATTACTGGAAGACATTATTTCCAAATGTTTTTGAGGTCGACAAATGTTTTTCATTAATTCTCTTTTAATGAATACGAAATTATACGTATATACTTTCGAAGCTTTTCGTATAGTTTTCGTATAATTTTCCATCTTTTTTTAAATATATCGATTTAAGATCCACTGGAAATGTATTATTGAATTACGAATGCCAATACCAAAATGCTATTCCAGACATCAACAACAAGGCACTGACGTTCACCTCACCGGGGGCTTTCTTGAAGAAGAACTACTTCGGGTCGGACGACAATGAGGAAAGGTTGCAGCTGAAAAGCATGCTGCTGGAGAATATTTTAATTAATTTAAGAACTTACGACACCTATTCTCTGATACTTTATGCGAACGATCACCTGAACAACTTCGTACACCTCTACATCTCAAACGGCACTAATATCGTGTACCTTTTCAACGCCGGCAACGAGATCAAGAATATCACCGTGGAAAATCCAAGTAATTAAAAATTCTGCCGTATCGCGCGCGTGTCAGTATATGCGACGCGCGTAAAATTATAACGGAATAATTCGTTCTTGTTTTTTTTTTCAGATGTTAACACGGGAATCTCCGTGCAGATTGCTATAATTCGAGGCAAGAATTGGACCACGTTGCACGTGAACGAATATAACGTGACCTTGAACGCAACGCCGATACTCCTAGACACGTATTCGAATAAACCTTGGACGAATCCGGAGAAAGAAGTTCTTGCACCACAGCGGCCGCCAGCACCACCCACTGATTATTTCCAAGTGAGTCTTTAAATAGATGCTAGTTTTTATTTTGCTTCAAATTAAAATCTCAAATAAGGCCAAAAGATGTTCAAAGGTAGAAGCAGCCCAAAAAATGTTGACATCTTTTTTAGGATATTGTAAAGCACAACTGTAATGAAAATGGCTTCTTGGATTAGTTTTTGGTATAATATACGTAGCAATCAGTGAACATATAAAGAAATGCATGTTTAAATGAATTAATAAATATTCGCTTAGGTAAATTTAGGAGGATTTGATCCTGACAATCTGCTCAGAGTCGGAAAGGCCGGGGCCTTAATTCAAGGCTACGTTGGCTGCTTGCGAGGGCTCATGATCGGCAAGTATCTCGTCGATCTACCGAGCTTAGCCAGCGAAGCGAATCATGAAGGGAGCAAAGGCGTTCTGCCGAATTGTCAGATGAAGTGCGATCAGATGCCGTGTAAAAATTTAGGAATCTGCACGGAGGACTTCGGCCGGCAGGAGTTTTCCTGCAATTGCGAGCTGACGTCCTACTTTGGCGAACATTGTGCCGACGGTAAGTTGATTTCTCTTTATCCGTTTGTTTCTCTTATCAAATCAAGAAATGGAGATTTTAAAGAGTGAAAAACCGAAAGATTCGCAGACGTAATTCTTCAGGCATACATTAAAAAATAACTAGAAAATTATCTTTTCCGAAGGAATAAAAATCCATTGATACCCTAGAATAATATTTCCATGAAGTACCAACGAGTTTGAATATCTCTGTATGAAAATTGTCTCTTTACACAGAAAAAGGCGCCGATTTCAGCGGGGAGAGCGTACTCCAGCGCGAGTTTGAACTCGAGGGCGAGGTGAATCAGGTGAAAGTACAGCTGGCATTCTCCACGAACGAGCTACGACAGCGTACCACCGCGTTGCTGCTAGTACAGACTGACAACAAGTAAAGCATCGATCTTAATATTTTCTTAATCCCCGTGTAATAACTCGACCGTTCCGACACCAGTCACCGACGCCTGGAGTCCTGGATGTCTTTCGAAGAACTTTTTTCCAGAAGGAGCTACTACTTGTTGGTGGCCTTGACGTCCGAGGGCCAGCTCATCTTCGAAGAGGACAGGGACGGCTCGGCGGCTGGGGTGCGCCTGAGCGATCGGAATTTCTTGAATGGTGCACGTCACAGCGTCTACTATGTTCGCGACAACAACACGGCCACCCTTTTGGTCAGTTATGATTTCTCTAGTGTTTCGTGTCTTAGGATTTTCATTCTTTTAAATACTGTGCTTGATACAATTTGTTACGCAATTTTAGATCGACCGTGAGCCCGTCCAGTTGCTGCCAATTCCAGGAATACCGATACCGGATGAGGACGAGACTCCGGGTGCCACGGAGATACAGCTCGGTGGATTGAACACCACCGACTTGCGATTTACCGCCTACAAGGGATACACCGGCTGTCTCAGCAGTAAGATTTCTCTCGAATCTCTCAATATCTGCCGCTAAATTTGTATCGCGTTGTGACATTATATAAAGAGTGAGAGCAAGTGTCCATAGGCAAATGGCCCCACTCTTTTCGCATTCGATTCTGGTCACAGAGTAGGTACCAAACGAAAGGTCTCGTCAAGCTGATTACAGATACGTTCCAGAGGAATCGGGCTCCAAAAATTTCCAGGACGTAAACGGTGAAGCCGTCTGGACAGACACCAACCATTTGTTTGGAATGGAATGGAACCTTTGGAGCCCGATATCTCTGGAACGTTAAATAAGTACACTCTGAGACTGACATATCTGTAATCAGCTTGACGAGACCTTTCGTTTGGTACCTACTTTGTGACCAAAATCGAATGCGAAAAAAATGGGGCCGATCTCTCTTTGTCTCTCTGAGGCAAAATGAGTATGGCCAATTATATGACAAATTGCAAATTATACTTTGCTTTTAGACGTCGTGATATCAATCAATGGAGGAGCCGATATGAAACCGCTAGAGGAATACATGCTCTTTACGAAACAGGACAGCGAGACTGTGCGGGCAACGATACCCGCCGGTGTTAGAAGCGCTCAATGTGCGGTCTTCCATGTTCAACCAGGTGGTCTTGAACCGCCCAAGAACGATAGCGTGGTGAGAAGATCAGAAATTGAGTATTTCATTAAGCAGAAACTGAGTATTTCATTAAGTCTCACATAATTTTGAATCTATTATTTTACGTGTAGGAGAAAACGATGTGGCAAATTTACATGTTTTGTGGATTTTTAAATAATTTGCAGTCTTTAACTGCATGAATTGTTGGGCAATCTTTGTTCTTCAACCGATATATTTTGAAATGTAGAATTGTTATACTCTTTCGCATCATAAACAAATGTTCATTCGGTACAACGAAACATCTTAAAGGGCCGTGACAAAGCATGGGTCGAGGATCCACCGGAAAGAATCCTGTACAAGTCGCAGTATTCGGGCGCCACTCAGGAGGAGCAGGGTGCAGGAACGTACATCTTCATAGCCCTGTGTTGCGTCTTCGTGGCCGCGGTGATCGGGTGTATTTACGAGGTGTGGCGTAGTGCACGCAAGGATCGTCGACGACGTCGCGACGCGGCCTCGGGAGCGGTTGCGACCGCCGCTTCCGGTTCGCAGAGGTGGCAACCGCAGCAGTACACGGAATCCCTGGTCACCGCGACCGGCGTAAAAGCGATCGGCTTCAAGAACGTGATGGACGACGACAAGAGGCCGAATGGGACCCACGTGAAAGTGCCCAATGCCAAAGAATACAAACCACTGCCGAACACGGAACCCAAGGACTTAATGAACGATAAGAAAGTTCACATTAAAGGTACTCTAATCCGTTTGAATTCGTAGGTGGAAAGTGTGGAGAGAAAATTGGTACCAGAACATGTTTTGCTTCGCAATTCTTATCGAACATAATCAAATGGTAATTCCAAATTAATTCCAAAACCAATTCTTTCATCTATAAAACCCTTTGAACGCTATTCGTCGTATCAATATTGAAATTTGTCGAAGAGAAAATTCTTTATTTGAATATTGTTGAAAGAGAGACCTAAAGATATAAGAACGTAATATGTGAATTTAATCGACATTTGTATTTTTATATGCATTACAGCGGACGAAGAACCAGAGAAAAAGGAGCTCCTCGGGGTAAATACAGGCATCGTCATTAAACCTGTGAAACCGAACCCATTCGTAAAGATTTTTTCTTTTTTTCGTAAAAAAATGCATATTTGGCTTGGTCAGGCTTGCAAAAGGGCTTTGCATGCATTTGTCGAAATTGTTATTGGTTTATTTGCATTCACACATGTTATGTGCCGCACTGCTCTGACAGACACATTGAACGCACAAAGTAAAAGTAAAGTACTGACTGAATCGCTTTTCTCTTTTAAAGCATATCGTTTTTGCATCCGACTCCGCACTACACTCACAATTCGCTAAATCTATCGACATACTGCATTATGGAGAAGTACAGGGAGCATTAACGGAGATAATTTCGAGTGTCATTTTCAATCAAATTTTCCAAATACGATGTTTTTATACGTTCACAAATCCACGCTTCGCAATGCCCAGTAAACCTAGCATAATATTTTCCGTATCGTCAAGAAATCGTTGAGCATTTTGTCTTTCTCCAACAGTCGATGGAAGATCTGAGAGAAGAGCCCGAATTGGAAGAACGCGAGGAAGAGGAGGAGGAGGAGGAAGAGGAAGAGGACACCCAGGAGCCGGAGGCGGACGAGAACAAGGATCAGCCGCAGGAATGTCAGCAAAAGGAACAAAAGGAAGCGAGCGATGATCAAGACGGCGAGCTTCTCGTTATGCCGGTAAGAGACAAGACGGCAAGGAGAGCATCCTTGACTGACGAATTGGACCCAGACGAAACGCAGGCCCTCCTCGAGACGAACTTCTCCGTGACGGGGTTGAATGAGATCAAAACCGAGCGTATAATACCGAGAGCGGGTAACGCCATGAAGAGTGCCATGCCGAAGAGGCCGATGAGCCTCGACCTCAACGCGCCGATCAAGTTTCGGAAACTGCGCGGAGCAGCTCGGCCTGAGAAGGTCACGGTGAAGTTGATCAATGGTGACGAAGTGAGTCGCCAGTCTCGAGGCAGAGGCTACGCCGGCGTGGCGTCCGCGTATCGCGCTCAGAACAATTGATTAAACTGACTGACGACAATAATTAATAATCGAAAGTAGTCCAAAGGTAGTTTCGACCATTGTAAATATCGCGCTCGAGGCGATCGTTGTTTAATGACAATCACATGTAATGTAAATTTTACATGTAAATTTTAAGACGACGCGGTTCAGCAACGGTATGAGCGTAGCAAGATCGCTGAGTGTGGTTGAGGTGTACAAGGCTAATAGTCAAAAGGTGCTTAACTCTGAAATTTCTGATAATTATCTGAACCGGGGAATTTGCGAGTTAGGCACTTGTCTATAACGCATAGCCATTCACAAGCTCTGGCACGCATGATTATCCGTTCAAAGTCACATTTTGTGAAATCAATCGAAATCAGTGAACTCTGTACTACGGTATAGATAGAAATTCATTATTTAAACATAAAATGGCACAGCAACGTATTTTTCTACGGGGAATAAATGACAATCGGTCGATTCAGATTCAGTAAAGTGCTTTGAGATCGTCGCGTACCGATTACGTTGCGTGAACACTAATTTCCCACAGTACGTTTTACTTATTTACGAGTTTACACAGTTAGTAAATCAGCGTTTACGAAGATTTGACTCAAAGTTCGGCTCGGAGCCACATTCGGAGAGAGAAAGACACCCAAGTAACGTGTAAAGTTAGCGTGTAGTTAAGCACCTATTTGTGTTTCTTACATAGCACATCGTCAGTATTTTTGCAGTATTGATTAGCTGTAGGGGAAGCCATACGTACTTAGCTCGAGCAAAAGACTATTTTAAGACTCTAGTGCCTATAAAATTACTTAACGAGACGAAAGTAACATTGAGAGTAAATTTACAACGAATATATTGAGATAAGACGATGAAGATCCATATCTTAGAGATACGAAGAAGAATCGCGCAGTTTTATTTAAGAAAGAAAAAATGAAAATGGAATACTAATTTACCGATTCGTGTATTTTTACGATAGCATTATATCCGATTATATCTCATGCAATTAACTAAAAAAAAATGTCACCATAGCATAGATTTGTGTTATTGTCATCAATGGCCGCGGTGTACACGGAAAAAAAAGGATACACTGTTCAGATATTATTAAAATTATTCCGAATAATTATCGCGAGTTTGAAGAATAAAGTATTTTCAATACGTAACTTATAATAATTCTGTAGTTTACTTTTTGCGTGTACACCCGCGCCGTTCAGTTTGATTTCGCTGCTTCGTGCAATCGTACAAAGTGTGGCGTTTTGTGTGCTTTTGGTGGCGATCACACAAAATAATCACAAGGCATAAATTCGCGAGAACCGAATCATCCACAATCCACGATCGAGCATCTTTAAATGTATCGGGCATCCTTTCAGCACAGGGATTGGTCTAATGTCGAGGAGAGCGTTATACCGTTAGACTCCATTTTAAAAGCCGATGAAACGAAAACGTCATGCGAATTATAGAGGTACGATGTGGACATGTGCACGTCGATAATAATCTGTAACGAATGTTAGCTCGACATCGCATCTTGGCTTGCATCTCTCGCAGCCCTCATCTCCTTCTCTGAATCGCAGGATTCAATTTGTTATTTACAGTATGTTCGAATCTACTTCCCCGAATGCATTGGCAATTAACAAAGTAATTCCCTGGGATGATACTATTATTGAACTGAGTGCGAACAAACGTACTGCCTATACTCGTAAAGTAATCGCAGTGCTGCGATTATTTTGTTGCTGCAGATAAAATATAAACTATTATGTGTATATACAAAAATTATACTTAGCTATAAATTATGACTTAGTTATAAATATATCGTAATTTAGCTCAAAAGATATTTGATCAATATCGAAATTAATATGAAAAAATTCTTTTTTATCCCGTAACTTCAATTAATTTGCACCTTATCATTTCAACTTCTGGCAATTTTCTGGCATTTTTATCTTTGCCGTTTTCTCTTAATACCTCATTAAACTGTACACAAACTGTGTTAACAGTTCGTAAGACCATAGCGAGAGAGATATATTGCGTGTTCAAATGTACTTCCTCCCCTCGATAGAAATGCATCCCATTCGGAATGACGAAAAGATTTATATTCTTCTGAGGTTAGCAGCTCTTAGACATTAATCCGTGAGTCTTGAGATACATTTTATAGCATGTTATATACAGACGAAAGTGACAGAGGAAATATACGATTTTTTTCCATTAACTCGAGTTTGTTGCATCGCTGTAACCACATCTCATACCGCCTCTCCTACACCGCCAAGCTTCTTCTCGCAAGCTCGCCGCCTTTTCTCACGACGAAGTCTCTTAACCCGGGAATGAACGAGCGATTCGACAGGTTGTATTTTACATCGTTACTCGCGAATCATCTCTGTATCGCATTTCATGATGAATTACCTTCTCTTCTATTAGGTGAGCATGTGCATGATAATCTGATATGATCGTTTAATATTTTTTTTTTGTCATTTCAAAGGAATTTATCGAAGATCCGGGAAACGTAATCGAGGAATCTCTTCGATCTCCGGAATTTCTAGGGAATCTAGAGAATAAAAGATCAAGTCCTGTCCTCTAAATAATTTGGTAAAAGCCTAGTTTCTAATGTTACGAAGAAATGTATACTCGTCGCAGTTAAGATTACTTTCGCGCGTTTGAATCGAGATCTGATGCCCCAAATGCTTGGTGTAAATTACAACCGGCGCAGCCATTCCCGAGTTAGACTAATCATCGATAAGAATCGCCCCCGCGAAGGCACGAAGCCTTCTATCGCAAACCTATCGCACGAGTGCATAGACAGCGATTAACTCGCATCGTCTGATGTAATCGAAACGGGCATTTATCTGTGGCACATGAGAAACATTCACCTCATCGCATGCACGCTTCGAGCTGCAGAAACTTCTGAAGCTCTGCTGAGGCAAGCCTTCGGAGTGTCTGGGTTGTACATGCACTAGCCGGAAAGATTGAAGAAAACCGAGTGAATCTGTTCTGCGTCTGCCGCGCTACTATACGGCGAGAGAAAGATTGAGGTGGTTTAAAGCAAACTTTCGCTTCATTTAGGCGCCCGCGGACGGAGGCATTGGAAGACAATCGAAGATGCAAGGAAACTACTTAGGTCAGTAACACAGAGCCTCTTTGAAGTCTCTCCTTTAAGAAATTCTAATAACATATGCAGTACTGCATGAGAGAATAGATATATTACTCCTCATTTCATAATAATCCGAAAGATATCTTAACACCCCATTACTCAAATTATAATTTCTTTCCTTAAAAATAGTTGCAAGATATAATTGCGATATCTTATTTCTGTTATACTTTATTTACTCTAGCTTGCTTGTTTAATCCCCGCGAGCATAATTAAACTTTTGATCGCTTCTTAAATAGTTACGAAACGCTTGTACGCATAATATACTCTTTAAAGAAGTCCGCGCGGCCCGGACAGAGTTAATTACGAAGATTATTGTTCTTTTAGCGCCAGGCAAGCCGATAACTATCTATACGTCTCCTATCTTCTTGCCGGATGGCCAGCGAACTTTCGGCAATCCATTGAGCTATCTCGGCGGTCCGAAATTACCACTGAGAAATAGAACCTCTGCCGAGTCGGTGCTGTCATTGGATTGATCGTGGATCATCCGTGCTCCAACGGGCATTTGTGAATAATCGCAGGAACAACCGTATTCCCGGTTCAAGTCGGAAAAGTCTCGAACGTGTTGAGTGCCAAACTCATAAATGTCATTTTATGAATATTTTTCTACACGCGCGGTCGGATTGTCCGAGCAGCAGGAAGGTCTAAAGTACATTGGAAAGACAGTCTGTACATTTGAAACATATTTTAGGCATCTCTCAGACGTCTGCCGTTTGTATGATTAATCGTTTACCTTAAAATGATCGCTGCGCAAAAACAAATATCTGTCGACCAATCCACTTAATTAATGTTAAAGAGCGCATTCTATGCACTTAACACATTTGACATTTTCCATCTTCGGTTCATCTTTCATTATCGCAGAGTTATCCGCTTCTCGAAAGGCTCGTGTTAATAGCTCGCACCGAGCTCTAAGCTAAATAGTTTCATCAGGAAGAAACGATTCGCTCGGACCAATATCGCGATCGGCGAATTTTACTCGTGACAAGACGTTACAGTTGCTAATAAAGATTTGAAGGACGTGATAACGAGCTTAACGATAGTAACTAGTGATCGTGACGGACTCGAATACGGTCTCTGTGCAGCTGATAGAAAGCTGTCGTGCTCAAATATATTCATACAATCTCACGAGGGTGCTTGTAAAAAATACAATATCTTGTAAGTCCATAGGATAATAATTTCTTATCTCTATTGTTGTAAAGCGAGCTCATAAAACAGTTTCTCCGTTCTCGCAGAGTCTCGAGAGTGAAGAAAAGCCTACTTTCCATCTAATCCTTCCGTTAGAGAGCAATGCGAGCGCGAATAAACGCAGTTGGAAAATTTGTGCTTTCTTGTCTCTAAAAAGAGAAATGCCGGTTAAAATTTTTGTGTTGAACGTTTAACACATTCATGTGTTAATTTAACATATTGCTCTTGCGACCTCAAATGTAAAATTATTAAAATAACTGAAAAGAAACGTTGAAACAGCGCAACGTGTTATTTTTTAACCTCACACAGTACATATGTTCTATATTATTAGTAACAAATTTTGTCTGTTGAAACTTACAGAATGAAATGTTGATTTATATTCTATAAGGGTGTCCTAGTTTAATGTTGTTATTTACGATTACGCCTTCGAACCGAGCAACATTTGTCTGAAACATTTTCTTCCGCAATGAAAAGTAAAAAAGTTATTTGAGGTGGGACACCCTGTACAACATAAGCGAGAGTGATTTCGAGATGTGATGTAAAATGTAAAAGTTACACTTTTTCGAATTCATTTTGTCATGTTAATTTTGCAACAAAATTTATTTCAAATTATTTTGAGGATTGCATTTATTTCGTGTTGAAATATTAACAGAGTATTAGCGTCCCAGTGAAAAATGATTCGTCGATCGACGTCGAAATGATGTCGAATCGACGTCAATTCGACGGCGTCGATGTCGATTCGACGTCGCTTCGACGTCGATCGACGAATCATTTCTCACTGAGGTGGTCATTTAACGTATCCATACATGGGCGTATCCAGACTTTTGTCTAGGGGGGGGGGGGGTCAGAACAGGATTCACTCGTAGGTGAATTATGCAGCATAAAGTAAACTACGTATTTATAAAAAAAAGTTTTTATTTATATAAAAATTACTTTTCTGGAGTCCTCGGCAAATCTATTAATTATATTATTCGTAATCTCAATGAGGATCCCATTGAGTCTAGGGGGGGGGGGGCAGCTGCCTCCCCCTGCCCCCCTCTGGATATGCCCATGTATCCATATTATGTTAAACTAACACAAAAACTTATGCGAACCGTTTGGGATATGTGCCCATGCAGCACCGAAGCTTTCAGAAACATTGCAACATCCCAAGGAGAACAAAAAGTTAGGATGATGTCAATTTGATGTAATATTGACCAAATTTATGTCAAATTTTGGTCAATTTGATGCCATATTGACCAAGATTTGACATAAATTTGGTCAATATGACATCGAATTGACATCATCCTGATTTTTTGTTCTCCTTGGGATTGCGGTTTTCTGAAACGTTTCCGAAAGCTTTGGCACTGTATGGGCGATATCTGTTAAATTTAACACAAATTTTTGCCAACTGTGAACGACTCCCAAGGAACTTCCCACCCGAGAGCCAATTAATAACTAATTAACAAACGGATCTCCCTAATTAAGCCAATTAACAAACGTACCTCGCTCGCCGACGTTACGGTCGCCTCTCCCGCCATTTTCCCGCTTCGGAGCGTCTCTCCCCTCCCCGGCTCTCCGCCGACTCCGGACAAGAAAGCGGTACTTAAATATTCTGCAAATATTTAGAGAATTATAGAGCAAATAATAGAGAACGGCGGGCGCGCGCGGCCGCGAATCGCGCCGCCTCGGTCAGGCGACGAACAGAGACAGCGAGATAAGCGGGAATGAATTACCTCTCCTTCGCCGGGACTCGCCGCCGCGATCTCGCCAACGTATGTACGAGGGACGTCGAGCGGCGCGAACGAGCGGCGAAAAGCGCTCGCGCGTCGCTCCCGACGCCTCGGAAGCTCGCGCGGACGCGCTTTTCCACGCTCGTTCGCCCCGCTCGACGTCCTCTCGCGGCCGGTGAGCATTTTTTGCCGCGCGAAGAAACCGCGATCCTCGCCGCGCGCGAGCGTAAACTGCGTCTCGCTCGCGTCGCCGGCCGATTACGCGACTTTCGATACTCGTCGCGCGCGAGAATCGCAATCTCGAAGTCGGGTGGACGCGCCGACAACTTCGGGGCGGACCGCGCGAGGTTGAGAGCCCCGGGACACGTCATAAACAAGCAACATGGCCGACCGTCGCGAGTATTGACGAGACGCGTGCTGCTGTTTACAAACTGTCGACGGCCAAGGGCCGCGTCGATGAGACTCTGACCTCGCCTGATCAGTCAGTAGCCACGCGTGAATCCGTCCTGCCATGGCGCAAGCGAAGCTCGACGTGCCCGAGAAGTCCGGCGGCGGCGGCGGCGGCGGCATTAAGGAGAAGGACAAGGACTCTGAGGAGAAGGAAGGTACGTGTTTGTCATCGGTCGCTATGCTCCTGCGAGTCGCTCTGCCGTAACTCGGGATACATTACGTAATGTATCGATGGTGCATTCTGTAGACAAGAGAATGACGCGACTACCCGTTACATGATGTTAAAATGTAAATATATAACAGTATCGCGTTTACATGTGTAAATAGGGATACTCGTGGTACGCGGATCAGGAGGAGTGGCTGAGAAAGGTATCACGTGAGCACTGCGTGAATTTTAATTTGTTTAAAGTTGATCTCTCTTGCGGCAGTTCTTATTACTCGAGCGTACCGAGCCCTAACGGTAGCCGCTTCGTGTCCTTCTCGAGATATTAGTCCAATAAGAAATTCTGACGAGTCGTCCTCGACTCTTCCGAGTTTTGTATACTTGTACGCATTAATTTGTAGCCCCGTGTCGCCTCGTTAGGTTCCACCGTCGTCCCGGAGTGCGCGGTGTGCCTGCAGCCCTGCATTCATCCGGCGCGACTACCCTGCAGCCACATATACTGCTATCTCTGCGTGAAGGGTGTCGCCAATCAGAGCAAACGGTGCCCGATGTGCCGCCAAGAGATCCCGCCGGACTTCCTCGAGCGGCCCCAGCTGGTGGAGGTGGAGGAGCCGCAGAAGGAGTCGGAGCATCCCGAGGAGGAGTACCAGTGGTTTTACGAGGGTCGAAATGGTAAACTATCGATTCGATTGACAATTGTGATTTTGGCCGGCACTTAATTCCTGCAATTGTTGCCAATATCGTTGCAAATATCTCGTCCAGCGCGTCGCATCTGCACGAGCTGTTCCCTAGCTTGCGAATTGTTTTAAAGCGTTTACACGTGGCGGCACAGAATTTGATATCCTACCCCTTCTTAGGTTGGTGGAAATATGATCCAAGGACAAGCAATGATCTGGAGACTATTTACAAACTCGGGGAAGCGCAATGCGAACTTTTGATCTGTGGCATGCTTTACGTAATTGACTTTGAAAACAAGTGTCAATATAGAAAGTACAACCCACGTTACAAACGTAATATCAAACGTGACCTAAAAGATTCCCCGTGCAAAGGCGTCTCGGGTGTACGATAACACTTGCTGGGTGTTTGTCCTGTTTAAGATTGAAGAGGCCAATTCCAAGCCTGTGTTTAGCAGCCTACTGAACTGCGTTTATACAAAGCATTATACAAAGATTATACACGCATTATAACTTGCACTGCATTAGCAAAAAAAAAATATAGGTTACAAAGTAGAATGTGTGCGCAAGTTATGTATATATGCTAATTTATTAAGTATGTTATGCGAAAGGATTGATCATTTCAACATTTAAAAGCGAAGACTTAATTATCATAAATAATGTATACCTAGGATGTTTGACAGGGAAGAAATATACGTATTTCTTTTTCTCAATAAAACTGTATTCTACTAAAAGTACCTTTCTTTTTCTATTTTCCCCAACTGCAGCTTTTGGCAACGTGTCCCACAAAATTTGCAAACGACTTACCTGCACGTTATCTGTTACTTCCGTGGAACAAATGGCTTTTAAGTAAACCTCTTGCAGGTTGGTGGCAGTACGATCAGCGTACAAGTATCGAATTAGAAACGGCGTATAAGCAGGGCAAAAGGACTTGCGAGTTGCTGATCGCCGGATTCCTTTACATCGCCGATTTCGGCTCGATGCTTCAGTTGCGTAGAAATGATCCCTCCAGGCGAAGGAGGATCAAAAGAGACCTATATAACGTTCCCAGAAAAGGAGTTGCCGGTTTACGGCTCAACGTGCAGGACGAAGAGATCGTGAGGGAGATCAGGGGCGCCGAGCGGCCGGCTAGCCCTGCGAGCGATAGCATGGGTAAGAAACGTAGCGAGTAGATTAACGAAATTACATAAGGCTCTGATGCGTTAGTTCACAAATTCGAAAGAATGAGAGAGCTGAAAAGTCGTCTCACAGGGTGTTAATGTCTACGTTAATTAATAATTTCTCACTGAGAAACACTGAAACTCTGTCGCCAACTCTCTTAGCTCTCTTATTCCTCAGATTAATAAAGTTGTTCGCCACAGGAATATCTTTGGTCAGACGTGAAGAGTGTTATCGCGTAATTACAGGTACAGGAGACGGCACAAATACCCCCATACCGCCTAGCAATACGCCGCAGACACCCGCAGGTGGGACAGCGAGCGGCGACGCTACGCCACTAAACGATAGAATAGATCAGAGGTCGGATTCCTTGCATCAGGTCCTCGAACAGATGCGTTCTCTAGTCTTAAGAGAGCACCTGTCCTTAAACAGCGATAACGAGTTCGAAGAGGATACGGATGACGCGTCGATTTCGGATCATCCCGCTCTTTCGTAGCTACAGATATCGAATCCGTATTCAACAGTGATCGCGGTAATCTTATTTCGGAATCTCCCGTTCTTTTCCAGACTCTTCGTGTTGTTATTCAGCTCAATAAGATAGTATTCTATACAAATACACGTCGCGTTTGCTAGAAGTGTCATCGGTGTGTAAACTTTAGCGATCTAGCAAACTACAATACATTGCTCAACTACGACATACGGAAATTGATATACGATTAAGTATCCTGAGTTAAGTAGCTACCTTTATTCAGTAAGTACTTTTCTCCTAATTTAAAAAACTGTTTAATGTCTTGTAATCGAAAGCATTGTCGACTTAGTGGTCGTTGAAGCGAGGGTGTGCGAAAGGCAGATTTATTAATTTACAAAATAACTACTTGTTGATGAATAATGTACTTAAAAGTCTAACTTTGAGAATTACTGTGTCGTATAGCAGTAATATAAAGCTGCTGTGACGACAATTAGTCGTATAAATTAAGATAAATATACTATATAGCTATTCTAAAATATATTAAAGTTTCTAATAAAAATGTGTTCATGCCTTAGAAAGGCGCGTAAAAAGAGAAATATATAACGAAAAAAAGATAACATTAATTTATTAAGAAAACCGAGTGCAATACTCGCTAATCGATAATCGCGAGTTTTCAAGAAAATCTGTAATCTCTTCGATGTTTAGAAATATCGAATTATCTTCTTCTCTTGTATTGCACATAGAAATAAAAGATGCATTTTCCTCATCGATGTTGTGGCTTATTCCTCGAGTAAAACAAACTTAAAGAAAAAAAATCTCTAAGAATATTCTAATACATATGTGTATGTGTGTATAAATGGATTAGTATGTGTAAGGATACTTAAAAGTAATTCGTGCGCAATGAATATCAACGAATTACGACAATTGCAGAATGTTACGATATTGTTAATTATAATTGAAACGTCACAATGGTGAAGGAAAAGTCGAATCCACCGTTCGAAATAAAGTCTGCTTTTTATTATCTTGCTTTTCTAGAATTTTACCCACGAAGGCTCTGTTATCCTCCCTTAAATATATGAATATTTATCGAAGACGCAGCCCTTGCGAAAAAGCACCGAAATAATTATTAGAAAATTACTATACATCAGTAATTTCTGATAGTTCAATTACTGATATACAGTAATTTTCTAGTAATTATTTCGTTACTTTTTCGCAAGGGCTGCGTCTTCGATAAATATTCATATATTTATTATACAGGGTGTCCCGTTTTAACATATTCAGCTTATGATATCTCGATAACTGTTTGTCTGTTGAACTTTTTGACTTGATTTAGTCTCAGGAATATGCAATAGTGTTCCAATTATTGAAAATTTTTGTGTACGTTACAATACACAAATACACAATAATTGGAACACTACATCTAAAAAGGTCCTGTACTACCTTAGTTTGGAAACAACCCTTTTGGTGCACGTAAACAGTCGCCAAAAATCGCCTGTTAATGTCATCTTAAAAAATAACCTTTTTAAAAAAAAACAGGTAAAAAAAAGACGCCAGGTATAAGCGCCATCCAATCAAGAATTATATAATTGAATTACCTGGCTACATTTTATTAGAAAACAAAACAGTTTTATCTTCTCTACAAAGGTAGTGGCATTGAATTGCGCCAACATAAAATGGACATTTACACAAACTAGACAATTATTTGAAAACGTTAGATCCAAACGATCGAGCATACGATCTTACCGAGGGAAATGAAGGAGACGATAGCATTAATAAGACAAACTTTCAATACTTATCGCCTGTCAGCGCGTATTCGACATCGATTCGCGCGAAACCGTTTGAATTTAGCGCCGTTTCGGGACGCGAAGAAATGTCCATTCATAGGGCGTTAAACAAAGGATAAGCGCCAAAAGTAGTATGTTTTTCGAAGCGCGGCTCGAGAGAGCACGGACAGGCAGGGGTTGCGGGTCTCTTGCATCATTGGAAGTGGAAATAGGTTGAGTAGGAGAGGCGCGTGAAAGGAGGATAACACCGAGCATCTCAGGTAACCGTGCGGGACACTCGAGCCTCGCGACGTCCCGTTTTTGCACGCCGATTTTTTCCCCTCCCCCCCCCTCGTCAGAAAAGTCGCGCGTTCGTGTCGGCGTGCGTTGTACACAACGTATTTTTCTCTCCGCGCGACGAAGGGTCGACGGCAAGGGCACGGTTGGTTGTTTCGGCGATCGCGCGACGAGAGAGAGCGAGAGAGAAGGACTGAGCAAGACGGTAGGCGCTCGAGAGTTATTCGCTACAATTCGGGCGGCGACGTTGGAATGCGTGCCGTTGTGACGAGCGCGAGATTGCATCGAGCCGCCGGGGCGATTCAGGGTTTACCGGGACGCCCGGCCACCGCGCCGTCTCCAGACCGCGTAGTCCGTACGGCACGGTAATCCCCGTCTCGCCGTCGTCCGCCGCGCCAGCGGCCGCCCGGGGACGGGATTAGGCCGATGGCAGACAACGATCCGTAAGGCCCGGTCTACAATGGGTTGTTAGTCGAAAGTCAGAACTATATGTCGATCCTTTTTCTTCCACCCAGAAAGGAAAAGGATCAACATATAGTTCCGACTTCTGACTAACGACTAACAACTCATTGTAGACCAGGCCTAAACGCTTAAGACTGTCTTGGATCGTAGACGTGAGGCAAGGCAGGGAGAAATGTAAGTCGTGAAAGGCTATTGTATACGACTCACGTTTCTCTCTGCCTTGCCTCGCGTCTACGATCTAAGACAGTCTTAAGCGTTTACGGGTCGTTCTCTGCCATCGGCCTTACGGTGCTTGGCGGACTGATGGCGATTCGTGTGTTTGTGTTCGCAGGAGCGGGAGGCGAGAGGCGCCGACGACGGAGCCGCGCGACCAAGAGTCCGTTGGACCTAAAGGGAAGGAAAGAGAGGAAATGTTGGCAGAGCGAGCGAGCAACATGAGCCAGCAGCAGCAGCAGCCGGCCTCAGAGTTCGTTATTTTCGTCACCCACGTGGAACCCGACGACGTGTGCCTGAAGATATGGGGCCAGATGGACAAGCAGGCCGCCACCGCCGTAGAGCACTACATATACCCGCTGATAGAGCAGTTCAACCAGGGATACGGCTGCCCCACCAAGGCCAGCGGGCAGATCGTCGGCGCGCTGTGCTGCGCCAGGTTTCAGACCGACGGCTACTACCGCGCGAAGATACTCAGCGTGCGTCCCGACGGCATGATCGTCGTGCAGTTCATCGACTACGGCAACGTGGAGGTCCTGCCGCCGAACGAGATTCATCTGTTGGACAGCGTACGCGGCTCGGATCCTCTCCGGGCCTACCCGGCGATGGCGGTTGACTTTACGTTGCTCAACGTGCTGCCGGTGAACGGCGTTTGGGAGAACCGCACCATCGAGGGGATCAGGAAGATACTCTGCTACAACGAGTACAGGGTGCTGGCGCAGATGGTGAACAACCGTTGCCTGATCAAGCTCTGGTTCAACAACGAGGACTTCAGCGAGCTGCTGGTGAAGGAACGTATGGCCATACCGGCCACTGTGCAGGACATGTTCAGGTACGCGTTTCGTTATTTCTCAGCGAGATCTGAATTTTTCGTAGAAACGACCTCCCTTTTGTACCGCGTCACTTAAATGGCCTTTTCATCGTTTAGACCGAAGCACACGATTCAGCATCGAGTGCTGCAACAGATACCGTATCAGCAGTCGAACAAGGGCAATATGAACAACTTTGCGGCGATGCCGATGCTGCAGAGCCTAAATGGCAATCACAATGTCAATATGCAGGGGTTATACCACAAGACTTACTTGCCTGGTGCGAATCAACACAAACACGCTGCTCAGCCGATGCCGCAGCCGCCGCCGCAGCATCTGCCGCCGCCGCAGCATCCGCCGCCACCGCAGCATCCGCCGCCCGTCCAAGAGGCGCTCGTGTTCAAGTCGCGAGTACTGGACGTGGGCTCGAATCACGAGGTACTTATATCGCACGTCGAGGACGGTCCGCAAAAGTTTTCCGTACAGGTCGAGAGCACGAGGCCTGTCCTGACTCGGCTTATGAACGAGATAAACAGCCATTCGAAGCAGCCGCTGCAGGAACCGCCGTTGCCAGGATCGGTTTGCCTGGGGCGCTACAAGGACGCTGCGGGAGACAAGGTGCTGTGCCGGGCGGTCGTAATGTCTGTGATGGAAAACAAATGTAAACTGTATTATGTTGATTTCGGCCATACGGAAGTCTTGCCGTATACGGACATTTTCCAATTGCCGCCCGAGTACATTAATCCCAAGGTGCTCTCCATTCGGTTCACGTTAAGCGGCTTGAAGGAGCTCACCATCTCGCAGGAGATGAAGGAGTATTTTAAGGATCTGGTGAACAGAAGACTGCTCGTCCTACACGTCCGTCCGCCGGAGGGGCCGCCGTTAATTCAATACGGCGACCTGTACGACAACGGTGTTAACGTGAAGGACGTGCTGAAAAAAGCGTTACCAGCACCACCCATAGTGATACCGATAACATATTCCTACCCGCAATTGCAACGACTGACGAAAGACTTCCAGGAGGTCGTGCACGTTTCTTACGTGGAGTCGTGTAAAAAGTTCTTCGTGCAACTCGACAGCGGGATGAAGTCCCTCGAGTCGATAATGGCGGGCTTGGCGCAGTACGCCAAGACCGCGTCCACGTTAAATATAGCGCAACTGAAAGCGGGACTACCCTGCGCCGCCCTATACGACTCGCAATGGTAGGCTTTGGAACTGCGCATTGTTCTCTGCTATCTGAGCTGGTAATCATCTTTGCAAGTCCCCTTTCTTTTTCCAGGTATCGTGCGCAAATCCTTGGCATTGTTGGGGACAAGGTTAAAGTGGTGTACGTTGATTACGGAAACGAGGAGGTGTTGCCTGTAATCTCGCTTCGCACCATTCACGATGATCTAGTAATCAAGTTGCCTGCGCAAGCTGTGATGTGTGCATTGAATGGCTACGAGGTGCTCTCGTTGGATCAAGACGTCTCCAATCATTTTGAAAGATTGACGCTCGAGAAACGTTTTTACATGAAAGTAGTTGCCGCACAACCCAATGGCCTATTAGTAGATTTATTCGAATTTGACACTATGAGGAGCGTTCATCCTCAATTGTTGAACAATTTGTTCTGCGATAAAACCGAAAATTCGACGACGAGCTCGCGAAACGAAGAAGTTCAGCAGTCTGTAAAGACAAATGAATTCCAAAGGTAATAAATAGATAATAGTCCTAGATTTCAACCTGGTTATTGCATATAAAGTTTAGGCAAATGTTTCTTAATTGAATTAGTGTGATATTTATCGTCACTTAACGTATAACGGCATCGTGTCATTTGTTGCATCGCGAATCTCGTTTGACAATCTGAGAACATGTGCTAATAACATATAGTATATTCATCGTCATAACCGGCTCTACAGCCCCAAGTGGCCCCTGGCCTTCACAACAAACTGCTTCCGAGGCTCGTGTGTATTCACAACAGTGAATTTTTACGGTGAGAGGCTGTTAGCCTTTCGCCAACCCCCTTTTCGGAGAACAGGGATATGTGTGGCAGAATATTCTCAGTAGTTGCTACTTCTTTCCGAAGAGAGAGAGAGAGGTAGCGTCCGTAGGTGGATTCGAACTCGGATCTTCTCGTTTATTTGTTTACTAAGCAGCGCACATTTCTCTGCCACACGCTCGCCACAACATATATTGTTATATAAAGTGTCTGTAAAATCTTCGCACATGAGAAATATTAAAACTTTATGATATATTCTATTCAATATGATTTCAATTTTATATATTGCATTAAATTTTATTCTAATTTTTAACGATTCAAATCTCACTATAAATTTTATAAATAAATACTTGACATAATTTTTCCTAATGTCGCATTTTCTTTATTACATTGTATTTATATTAAATTATTTCAATACAGCAATATTTCTCCTTTCTGTACAGTGAAGACAAGTATGTCAAAAAAAGTGTGGATTCTTGGAATCGTAACCAGAACGCCAAGCCTTTCCAAAACAACAAATCAAGTACTTGGTCTCAAGAGAAACAGTATGATAATAGACGTGAGAGAACTGGCGCTTATGCTTATCGTGACGGTTCACAGAACGATCGGTTTATCAAAGACAAAGCAGCGAACAATAGATTTGATAGAGAAAAATCGTATAACAAATACGACGAAGGTGAAAATGTATTTAACAGAAGTAATAGGGGAACCCCTCGCGACGGTGGAAATAGATTTAGTGGCAATGATGGTAGATACAACCGTAACAATTCGTCTGATAAAGCAAATAGTGACAAAGATTCTGATACCTCGTCGAGAGGCGATAGACGAGAGAAAGGTGGTTTCAGACGTAATGGTTTTAACGATAGCCGAGGGGGAAACCGCGACGGCGGAGGATCGGGCAGACTGCAGACTACGAATTGGGGTGACAAAAAGCCAGCTACGGCTTATAAGACTAATTATAGAAGCGAGAAATTTAATGGTACTTGGAATTTATAAAATGTATTGGTGTATAATATATATATATGTATATAAACGTGACTTAAAAATATATTTTTTATTGAATATAGATAACTACAATATCGGCAATAAATTCAGAAGCAGAGAAGATAATACAGATGAAGTGTCATACAATCTGGTAGGAAAAGATCTATTGTACTTAATACTGTAAAATATAAATTGTATATTTATACGTTTGATTCCAATATTTTATAAAACATTACATATATTTATAAAATTTCCAGCCGGTTGATTCTGAATCATGGGGTACGGACGACGCTGACAAAGGGAAACCTCAACATTTATTAATGAGAATTGACATCGCTCTCAGTTCCGTAAAGAATTGCGAGGTGGTATTTATTAACAGTCCGTTGGACTTCTTTGTTCAGCTGAGTCCCGATTGTTTGGAATTGGATTCTATTATGGAAAGTATTGCCGCAACTTACGAGAACGGTGGAGAAACGATGCAAGCTTCCGAGATACGAAGCGGTACATATTGTATCGCTCAATATTCGGAGGACCTCAAATGGTACAGAGCGATGATCAAATCCGTAGAAGAGAACAGCGCGACTGTGGAATTTGTCGACTATGGGAACACAGAGTCGGTCGACTCGATGAAAATTAAAGTTATTTCAGAAGAATTTCTGAAACTTCCGATGCAAGCGGTACATTGCAAACTACTTGGATTGACAACGTGCGATGAGGAGGCACAATCTGCGATTTTCGTAGAGAAAGCCGAAGGGAAACCACTACAAGTCGAGTTTGTCTCTGAAGAAAACGGAATATACGAAGTACTATTGCGTGAAGTTGTCGATGATGTGCCGAACACTAATTATATAAATGAGGAGTTTTGCACAATCGCCGATATAACAAGAGCGAAGGAAGCTGCATCGAGTAAAAAATCATTTGTAAACCCGACAGAAACTAGTGGAGCTACAGATTATGCTCCTTCTGATTCAAAATGGCAAACAGCTTTATACGAGCCTGAATCTAAACAGGATGTACTTGTAACATGGTTTATAAATCCTAACAAGTTATATTGCCAACTGTTGTCTAAAGAAGCAGAATTTAAAGCAATGATGAGCGAAATTCAAAAAACATATGCCAATAGAACACCTGTGACATATAAATTAGAGGTAATTATTGCTCTTATATACTTATTTTGTATATATTTGTACATTTCTTTTATTCTGTCTAGATTTACTATATTCGAAGAAACTATTTGTAATACATAAACGTAAAAACTATAATTGAACTATGTAATTGAATTAATAAGAAAACGTAACTTTTTTTTAGATTGGCTCAGCAGTCGTAGCTATATTTTCTGAAGATCGAGCTCTTTATCGAGCGGAAGTTACGAGTATTGATACGCTAAAGAATACATACGTAGTTCAGTACATTGATTTTGGAAATTGCGCGATGGTAGATATACGTAATATTTATCCCGTCGAGAGGAAATTCATGCAGCTGCCGAGATTGGCAGTGCAGTGTACATTGATGGATGTCGTACCTAATAATAAAAACTTGAGTTGGTCCGAAGTAGATAATAACGCGCTCGATAATTGCTTCAATGCTGATAAGTACGAATGCACATTCCATAGTTTTAATGGCGATCAGTATACAATTTCGTTGAATCACGATGGACAAGATGTTGGTAATATGTTGGTGCAACAAAACCTTGCAGTCTTCGCTACGAAAACTTCGGTTGAAACAATTACAGGTAAGAATTATTTCAATTTTTATTTTATTTTATTCTGAGCTTCTCTCTCTAACCAAAGTTTATATCTTCTTCCATAACTAGAATTTTGTATTCTATGCAATAATAATTATGTATTTTATATATTAAATGCGAACTTTAAATGCTAACATTATATTCTATATGACTGTTCAATATATTTTTTATATTTTAGCAGAAACATATGATTCAGAAGTAAAAGAGCTCAATGATGTGGAAAGAGTGGACATAAGTCTCCTAAGTGGCCAAACTCTCAAAATGAGAATTTCTAGTGTAGAAAGTACCACCCAGTTTTATGTCCAGCTTCCATCTGCCTCAAAATGTGATAGCATTGTCGATCAATACATGGCTGATAAAGATACAAAGGTATTATTTAATACAAGTGCATTTCAGCCGCGAATCATATTCTGTTATCTATATTGCTCATAAACTTTATGGAAAATTAGAAAAATAACTTTCCATTTTGTAATAAACATGAACTAACGGCTTGTCGTAATGACGAACTCTGATATTCAATAATTACCACAATATGTATTTATAAATTTCTTTCTAAAATTTCCCAAGATCAAACAAATTCTAAGATTTGAAAGTTGAACGAATTACAAAATACTCGTATTATTTCTTGAATCTTATGATTCTTAAGTATATTATGGTGATGGAAAAGGAAATTTTATTCGTGTATTAAGAATTTTAATATCTCGTTAACATAAATGACTAACATCATGAATCCATTTAATTGTATAACAAAATTTATCCAGTCAGTCATGAATGAATCGAGTCGTACATTCTGGAACTTTAATATTTAATTTTAATCCCATAAAATAAAATGCCGGAAGTATCATTGCACGATGTATGGTATTAACAGCTAAATAATTAAAAATCGATTGTAACACAGTATCCTTATGAATGTTTCATCATAATGTTCGGATTTCCCGAAAGTAACAATAACTTAACATTAAAGATAGCTTATACCTTCTCATTCGACCTAACGATCGATCGCATGAACTCAAGCGAATCTTATTCTATTGATAAGAAGAAGTTACGATAACATTAGGTGATGCCGCGATTATCGACCCGCGAGTTGTGTCTCGGCGCGGGTTGTTTAGTCAATACAAATGGAACATGGAAGCGAGCTGTAGTGATTAACTGTACACGGTCCGTCGAGTTTGACGTAAAGTTCATTGATACCGGGACGTACAATGAAATCCTGGATGATGTGAGTTCACATAGACAGATATTTACAAAAACTTGGGCAATCTTATTGTTCCTACGATGCGAGTTAATGCCATACATCGTGTCGCAATATATCATGTATTGAAACTGGTTAAAATAGACTAGGAATACATAAATTTGTTAGTAAGTCTTGATATTTATTGGTTTCCACGATTAATATAAAAATATAATGATCCAGGCTTTGGCTCTACCTGGAGAGCTCGCGGTCATGCAGAACCAAGCGTTAGAATGCTCCCTACAAAACGTTCCGGCGTCGCCCGACGCAGATAAACAATTGAAGGAGCTTGAAAACAAAGAAGTGTTGGTCTACGTGGAAGAAGTCAATAACAGCAGGTTTGTATTTTACGCTGCAAATATACAAACAAGTTTCTATTTGATGTTGCTGACATTCTTTGTTTCTATAGACTTATGGTAAAGCTGTACGATCTACTCGGCAATGGGATAATGAATGCCGAAGAGAAGATATCGCCCGTATGTCCGATGCCTGTTCTGAATTCAACCCACAAGGTCTCTGTGTCGCACATAGATCACTCTACCAGTATCTGGTTGCAACGGTATTCGGACATGGAACTCGAGACAAAACTGTCGGAAGATCTTCAACAGTATTACGCTAGTTCTGGACAAAGTGTCGAACCGCAGGTGCACCTGTTGTGCGCGACGAAATATTTGGACGACGGCCAATGGTACAGAGGAAGAGTCGTTAGCCTCACCGAAACAACGGCCTACATAAATTACATTGACTACGGCAATAGCGAGGAAGTCCCTCTGGACTCGATCATGGTTTTGGAACCGCAATTTTACGAACCCCACCAATTAGCCGTAAACGTATCGTTATCCGTGCTTCTCACCGGCACCGAGGCTGAGCAGAAAGACTTGCTGCAAACTCACTTGACAGATAAAGATTTCACGGCTATATTTTACAACGTGCACAAGAAGTGGGTCGTTGATCTGATGGAAAATGAACAAAAGCTCAGCGATAGATTCCGCTCATTGAATCTCGTGGAGATTGAGCAAACTGTATGTGAACCAGCGTCTCAGATACAAGAAACTGCAACGCCTGGCAGGTTCGACGTGTGCGTATCCCACGTGGATTCTCCAAGTCAGTTCTGGATACAGCGCGTGGACCAAGTTACGTCTCTCAATGAAAAACAAGAACAGCTTCAGCTAGAAGTTGCCGAGTTTGTGGCGATAGACGGTATACCGGAAGAAGGCACTTTATGCGTTACCGTTTACTCGATTGACGATCTTTGGTACCGCGCAGAGGTATTGGATGCGGACGAGGACATCACGACCGTCCGATTCATAGACTACGGCAATACCGACATCATTGACAACAAAGCGGGCAACATTCGACAGATGCCAGACGCCTGGCAGAACCTAGAGACATTTGCGTTCAAGTGCCGCCTCGACGTTATTCCCGTGGACACGGAGGATTGGAGCGAGTCGACTTGCGAGAGATTCAAGAACCTGGCGATGTCAACGGAGAGCCTTCAGGCTCAGATAGTGGCGGACACCGTGCCTAAACGCGTGGAGCTGTTCATAAACGACAAGAGCGTCAGCGAGACGTTGGTCGAGGAGAAGCATGCTATTATAATTAATACCGAGCAGGAACCCGTGGACGAGATAGTCGATCTCGAACTGGACCCGCATTCCGCCTTCGTGTGCCACGTCAACTCGCCGAGCGAGTTCTGGGTTCAGGAGGAGAAGTCCGTTGCCGATCTGGAGGTGATAGCGGACAGATTTATGGTCGCCGACATGTTCCCGAGGATCGACAACATGAAGGAAGGTTTGCTGTGCGTCGCCAAATATCCCGAGGACGAACAGTGGTACAGAGCGCGCGTGGTCTCCCACGACAAGGACGGCACGCGAGTGATATACATCGACTACGGAAACTCCGCGGTATCCACCGAGATTCGTGCCATTCCGGAAGACCTGGCGAGCACGCCGCCTCTGTCGCGTAAATGCTGCCTGGAGCTGCCGGCGCAGGTCGAGAAGTGGTCGGAGCAGGCGCGCGAGGAGTTCGTCCGGCTGGCCGCGGACGGCGCGACAATTTTCCTCCTGGACGTTCTGAAGGAGCAGGAGACGTCGTTGGTGAAACTCGCGTTGGACGGGCAGAACGTCGCTGACATTCTCGGCGCCATGTGCGAGCGAATCTCGCCGGTTATCGAGGAGAGATTGCCGCCGCTCGGCGAGGAGAACTCGCCGAACGTGGTGGTCAGTCACATTAACAGCCCGAGCGAGTTCTGGATTCAAACCGAGAGCAGTATAAGCGAGCTGGAGGTGATGTCGGATCGCCTGCGAGACGCGGAGAGCTTCCTCACGTTAAGCAGCCTCGACGCGGGCACGGTCTGCGCCGCTCGTTATCCCGAGGACGGCTGTTGGTACAGGGCGAGGATAGTCGCGCGTTGCGACGAGGGCATGGAGGTCTTGTACATGGATTACGGCAATTCCGCGGTTACGGAGGAACTGAGAGTGCTGCCGGAGGACATCGTGAATATTCCTACGCTGTCGAAGCGATGCGCGCTGGAGAAACCGAACCACGCCGTTACATGGAGCGAACAAACTTGCGACAGGTTCAAGGAACTCGCCGCCGAAGGAGCCACGATGTTCCAGTTCGAGATCGTCGACGAAAACGACCCGATGCACGTCCGACTGAGTCTAAACGGGACGAATGTTATTGAACTTTTATCAGAATGCGAAAACATTCCAAAAGAAGTAACCGAGATTAAAGACACTGCTTTCGATATGGAAAAACAAGAAACAGTTATTGAACTTTTATCAGAATGCGAAAACATTCCAAAAGAACAAGTAACCGAGATTAAAGACAATGCTTCCGATATGGAAAAACAAGAAGCGGTGCTTCACGAGAATCAAATAAATGGCGAAGAGACTTTAAAGTTAAGTAAAGAAGCTGAGCAAGAATCAGAATTTAATCAAACGGATAATCTGGTTTGCGTTAATCAAATGGAGACGCTGGACATTAATGAAGTAGCATTGAACACGGAAAGCAATGGAATTGAAGATTCTGGTATAAATGAGAAATGTGAATATGAAGACCAAGAATTCGCAAACACCGAAATCAAATCATTGCCCTGTACCAATAGCGACACTTCTAAAATTGTGGCTGAAATTCGAGCCGAATGTATCTCAAGTTTGATGGACGGTATCAGCACGTCCGAAATAG